GAAAAGTAGGCAGTGACAGAAAAAATTACCCTAATAGGCCCCAGAACAACACAGAGAGGCTGGAGGACAAGCACTCTGTCCCAGGAGGAGCCTCTGCTATACTTTTGGAGGGCAGTCTGCTGCAGCCTCAAGCCCATGGGCCCAGATGCTCCATTCTGGGTAAACTGTGAACAAAGGTATCAAATAGCCCTCTTCACTTAAACCTAAAGAGTGACCAAGGCAATCCTTCTTCAGTGAAGGGATACATCTGAGCAAAGACTAGTCGGGGCAAGAGGCCAACAGCGATGGGTGTGCTGACAGGCTCGGGTCAGAGCCTTCTCAAGAGCCCCTGCCCAGACCTCCTGCTTCCCTGCAGACTCACCATCCGGCCTAGTCTCACTGCTAGGAGCAGAGACATGGGGCAATGACTGCTTGATCACAGCTCACCATTCCATTTCCAGGGACCTGAGTCTCACAGCTGCCTAGGGCCTTGCAGGATCCTCACCACTGAAAACCAGGCCTCTCCCCTAGGGCCATGGCCCTTTAGGCTACTGTCTACTTACTATTCTCCCAGTTGTTGGTTGGTTGGGTGGTTTTTTTAAAAAAGCATTGACCCAAACCTTACATCAATGCTCACAGCTCCTATACAACCTCTGCACTGGGTTCTACCCCCACAACCCTGGTGAGACTGGAGATAAACAACCACCTTCCTCACACAGCCCAGAGCCCTTTTTTCTCTTAATCCCTTCTGGAAAGAGACCCAGCTCAGTCCCTCATCCAGTCCTTCAGACACTGATCTCACACCCCAATTTTAGGCTGGGTCCTGTTCAAAGCCCTGTACTGGTGCCTGGAAGCATCTTAAACCCAATTCCCTTCAGTAGCCCTGCCCTCGGCCTTGGCTCCTGTGGGGGAAGAGGGACCATCCTTGTCTCTGCCCCAACACTCCTTTCCTTTCCAGGCCCCAGTTCATCTGACTACTACTTCCTCCTCGTCTCCTGGCAGCCGTGGGCACTGTCCCTACACAGCAGAGGGTAATCCTCTACCCTCATTGAGTAATGCCGCATAAGACAGCCCAGCCCTTTCCAACACACCTAGACAGAATAAACAACAACAACAACAACAAAATCCCACATTTGAAAACCTGACCTTTAAGGTCAAAGAACACACAAAACAAGAGTGACAAGATCCACAGAAAATGCAACAGGTAACTTTCTATACACTCAAGGCCAAAAGAACTCAAATTACTCTAGCAGAAGGGGCAAGTCATGGATAAGGAAACTAGTATAACTGGTGTAAGAGGCAGAGAATAATTCCTTCAAATCAGACTAAAAAGCTAATTTTAAATTCAAGGAAAACAAACAAACCCTATCAATCAAACTGGCCCTTTCTCAAAACTGCACTAGAACATGAACTTCAAAGAAACAAAAACAACAAAAAAAACAGATACCAGGCCTGATGGCACATGCCTTTAGTCCCAGTACTCAGGAGGCAGAGGCAGGTAGATCTCTGTGAACTGGAGGGTGGTCAGACAACCTCTGTCTAACAGGTTCCAGACCAAGCAGTGAGAACCTTCTCAAAAACAAGAAAAAGGGGCTAAAGATATGGCTAGGTGACTAGGAGCACTTGTTGCTCTTCTGGAGGATGCCGGTTCAAATCCTAGCACCCATGTCTGATAGCTCATAACTGCATATATCAAACTTTAGGGGAATCCAATGCCCTCTTCTGGGCCCTGCTAATACATTAAAAAAACAAACAAAAAATCCTATAAACCCCTAGATATTTCCAAAAAGGACACGCTTGGATACATACACAATGGTGAATAAAGTAACCGCAGAATATTAATTTTAATACTAAATATTTAATGGTTACTTGAAGAGATAAAAACACAAGCAGCACAAACCAAAACCCTAGACTATCTGACCTGGGGAGGCTAATACATGGTAAGTGATCAGCTCTATTCAGTCACAGAAAGATGAACACTATATATAAATGCATTCACATACATACATGCATGTATATGAGTATATATGAATGCATATATGTATTTTTCCCTTTTTTGAGATGGGGTCTCCTGTGGCCCAGAATGGTATTGAAATCTTAATTTCTTATCTTTACACCCTGAAGACATGTGTATTACCACACCCAGCAGTACATGTTTGCTTTTAAACAAACAGAGAAACAAACTTGGCATGGTGGTTCATGTTTGCAACACCAACACTCTAAGACGAAAGCAGGTGGATTGATGAGTTTAAAGTTGCCTAGGTTACATAGTTGTGTTCCAAGCTAGCTAGAGCTGTAGTGTGAGACCATTTCTCCAAAACCAAATAACAAAAAAGGGAAAGGCTAACAAATTAAAAAATAAAATTTCCAACTTATAGATAATGACAACATAAGTAGATTTAAGTACTCTATAAAGCAACTCTTACATCAATTAAAATTTATAAAATAAAGTGACATGAAGCTGGGCTTTGGTGGCACACACCTTTAATCCCAGCACTCGGGAGGCAGAGGCAGGCGGATCTCTGTGAGTTCGAGCCAGCCTGGTCTAGTTCCAGGACAGCCTCCAAAGCCACAGAGTAACCCTGTCTTGAACCCCCCCCCCAAAAAAAAATAAAGTGACATGAAGACACTGAAATGAAGGGGATAGAGAGTGATACGCAGGTAGGTGTGGTGGCCCACGCCTATCATCCCAGCACTTGGGAGGCTGAGGCAGGAGGATCAGCAGTTCAAGGCCAGACTTGGCCCTCACTGTAAGAGAGGGGAGAGGAAGGAAGGGAGGAGGAGGAAGCCTTGAACTGGAAGCAGTGATGTAAGTCTTCAGACTCCAGCCACCCAGGGAACTGGAGGTTGGGGCAGAACAGAAAGTTGGAATGAAGCCTGAGACACCAAATGAGGGTGAATCTTTTGATCTTTAAACGAGAGAAGGGTGTCTGTGCTTCTGATCATCAGGAAGACGGACACATCTACCAAGGTTTCCATTTGAATCTAAAGCAAAAGTTGATAGGTACAGGCAAGTGTGGTGGTTCAGGTGTGTAATCTTAGTATTTGGGAAGTTAAGGCTGACGATAACCATAAGTTCAAGGCCAGCCTGGGCTATGCAGTGAGACCCTGCCTAACCAAAACCAGTAACTTGACAGACACAGGAAGACTTGGGCACCTCTGGAGAGTGCCTCACCTTCTAGAAGTCAGCTGACTTTGTACCTTTCCAGAAGTTAGGCAACAGCTCTGCTGACTCACACCAGGGCCAAGGTCTCAGTCTCAGCCTGGAAAAGAACCATGGAACCAGACAGGAGAGGACACTTCCTTCTGAGCTCAAGGCAAAAGTAAAGACACTTGCTGACAAGTCTGAGGACCAGCCACAAAGAAATCTTAAAAAAAGCAGGCTTAAAGACAACATAGCATTAAATCTCACTATAATAAAAGTTAAAGTAACTCCAAAAAGTCTCTCCCCTCTACCAACCTATCTGCTTCAGAGCCATTGCCACCATTTAAATTAGAGCTCTGGGATAAGAAGGACTCAAAGCTGAGATGACAAAGTACTGGGGACAAAGGAGTATAGCACAAAGCAAATCTAGAATGGGCACATTCAGGCAGAAAAGACTCACAGCCTCAACTCCAGGTTTTAGGCTAGGAAATTTTGCAGAAGCCGGAATAAGTAAAACCTAAAGCAAGAAGAATGAAACAATATAGTAACAATGGAAACAATTGTACACCCACCAATCTTTTGTCTGGGATTTTGTCCTGGGATTACAAGTATGAGAGGCCACATCCAGCTTTCCTAAACACCTGAAAAAGAGTTAAGCCAGATGGTGGTAGAGCACCACTTTAATCCCAGCACTCGGGAAGCAGGGGCAGGTGGATCTCTGTGAATTCAAGGGCAGCCTGGTCTACACAGCAAGATGTAAATGAAGGTCAGAAGACAGGGAGAGCAACAGACTGACCCTGTTTCAAACCCCCAGCCCATCTCAAAAGAAGTATTCGTGGGTTTTTCCCCCCCTTGAGATCCTTCCCCCTTCAATGAAAAGCCTTTGAGCCAAGCATCAGAAACCTTGCCTGCTGACTTGATTTTTATTTGTTTTGAGAGCTTGTTTGGAGGTTCTAGCAAGAGAGTGCAGCTACTCGTATACCCTTGACCAAAGACTGGTCCTCCTCTATTTGGGGAAGGTCGTCCTCTTCGACCCAGCTCGGCTATGGGAGCGCGGAGGGACGCACATGGGGCGGTGAGGGAGGAAGGGGCACCCGCCTACCCAGCCACATCAGCCGAATCAACCCTGGCGATCAATGGGTGACAGATGTTGCAGCCAGATCGCCCCCACATCCTATTTTTGTTTTGAGAGAGGGTCTCTCTATGTTAGCAGCTCTTAACCTGTGGGTCATGACCCCTTTGAGGGTTGAAGGATCCTTTCACAGAGGCTGCCTAAAAACACCAGAAAATAGATATATGTAGGGCAGTAGAGGTGTATGACTTTAATCCTAGCACTCAGGAGGCAGAGGCAGGCAGAACTTAGTTCAAGGCAAGCCTGGTCTACAGAGAAACCTTGTCTAGAAAAATCAAGAAAAAAAAATAAAAAGAAAAAAATAGACAGATATTATAGTTATGAAGAAGCAATGAAAATAATTTTATAGTAGGGGGTCACCACAACATGAAGAAGTAACTGCATAAAAGGGTCACAACACTAGGAAGGTTGAGAACTACTGCTCCATGTAGTCCTGGCTAGCCTGGAGCTAACTACATAGAGCAGGCTCACTTTGAACTCACAGATCCACCTTCCTCTGCCTCCTGGGCACTGGGATTAAAGGTGTACGTCCCACACCTAGCTACTTCCAATGCTAAATCTTCATGTACACAGACCTCTCTCTCCAGTGACTAGGCCTCCTACACCCTGGGCCTGGGTTCCCTGGCCATTGAGCACTCTCATGAGAGCACAGGAACATCTAGCCCTCAGACAGCAGGCACAAGCAGGAAAATCTCCCCTAGTCAGGGGAAGGAAGGCAGGGAAGCATACTGGCTAAGTACTGACCGTGGCTGGGGGGCAGCAGGCCACTTAGGTAGGGGAGGTAGGGGAGACTTGCTCTCCTCAGCTCGTCCAGCTTCTCCTGCAGCTTTCGGACCTGGCTGTCAGAGCGGCTGACCCTCTGCCGCAGGCTCTTTAGCTCTCCATTCTTCTTTTCTACCTGCTCCCGCAGGCAGCATACCTGGCTCTTATTCTGCCGAGCCGAAAAGCAGTAGGAGTGCAGTGAGTCGATGAGCTTGCAGGCCCCGGAGGCAGACAGGATGACCTCATTGATAGACATAGGACTGGCATCACTGTGCTCACTCTGCACGGCTTCCGCAGCTGGCTTTGGGGTTACATCAGTAGGAGGCGCAGAGGGGCTCTGGGAAGCCTTCTGAGGGGTTGCTGTAAGTGAGGAACTTGGAGGACTCTGGGCCACACTATTCCCACTGCACCTTGGCTCTGTATCTCTCTTCGGCCTCTTTCGGTCAATGGGCTCACGGGGGACAGCTGGCCTCTCTCGAGTGTGCTTGGAGGAGAAACTATAAGAATGAAGTGAGCCAATGAACTTGCAAGCTCCAGACCCTGGAGGTGTGAAGTCGTCCATGGAGATACCACTCTTGTCTGCCCCGCCTGCATCATGAGAGGAAGAGGCCTTCTGCTGGTCAGACACTGTAGTCGATACTTCTGATTCTTCCGGGCTTTGGGTCAGTGGGGTGGCCAGTTCAGCTCCTGGAGTTCTCTCTTGGGACTGCCCCTGCTCCTGACTGGCAGCACCTGTGGTGGCCTTGGCAGCTGCATCACTTTGTGGAGAAGCTCGCTTCAACTTTCGGGGCTCAGGCTTCGCCATCGAGTTATCATTTGAGGGCAGTGAGGGACCTACAGTTCCTTTCCCTGTTGCTGAGCTTGTGTGGCCTCTCATGGTCCCTGTGGTCTTTCTCCTAGCATGGCCATGGCCTCCAGCCCCCCGCTTCTTCTCCGACAGGTGGAAAATAGAGGGCACAGCTGTGGGCTTCAGCAGGCGATGCTGGTCCTCCAGTCTTTTGGAGAAACTGTCTTTGGTGAAATGCTCACTGCAGAGGAATGAATACTTAGTGGGGGTCCAATTATCCCTCTGAACGGCTTTTAACCACTGGATCAGTCGTTTGGAGTCCTTTAGGGGGAACCTGTGGGGCAAATAACAAAGTACTTAGAAATACCCTTCCCTAAAACTATCATCAATAAAAGCAAATCAAGTATTTCTGCAAGCATCCAAACTCATACTGATGTCATCCACTTAAAAACTCATTAGGATTTCAGGGCATCTTGCAGGTCATTACCAAAATGGAAAGGAGAAAAGCCCTACTGACTGAGTCTATAGGGTAGAGAGGAAAGAAGGATACACCTCCTAGGTGTGGCAAATGACCCTGGGCACAAAATAATGCTCAGAGACACCAGACAACAGAAAATAGCTTTCACAAGTGGACCACTGACCAAATCATCTGGTACTTGAAAAGAATGGTCTGAGTTCTAGACCTCTAATGAGAATCCCATAGAGTTGGGAGCAAGAGACTAGGAAATAGCTCAGAGGCCCAGCTAAAAAACCAGCACAGCTGAGGCTCAAGTAGTTCAGGGTATAGGAAACAGCTTTAGGAGAAAGCCCCAAAGCTCCAGCCAGGCCGAATGGTGCAAGACCGTGATCTCAGTTACTCTGAAGCAAGAGGGTCAGAAGCTCAACACCTACCTGGACTAGAATAAGTTCAAGGCCTACCTGGGTAACTTTGTGTCTTTTTAAATAAAGAGCCAGGTGCTGTATTGGCTACCTGTAATTCCAGTACTAAGGAGGTGAGGAGGGATGATTCAGAAATCAGTGTCAACCTTAGTTACATATGAGGCCAGCCTCAATGCCTCACTCATTTTGTCTCAAAAAAAAAAAAAAAAAAAAGCAACAAGTTGTTTCTGGTGGCTCATGCCCATAATTCTAGCATGTGGGAGGCAGAGGCAGGAGGATTGCCACAAGTCTGAGACCACCACAGACTATAACTGAGTTGTTGGCCAACAAAGCTATTCAATTCAAAGCTATTTGTCTCAATACACCAAAACCAAACAAACAACAAAAACCAAAACACCCCAGCAAAAAATAAAAAATGGTAAATTATGTTGTATATTATGTCTCAGCAGGAAAAATTAAAAAAAAAAGATGCTCAATAACATGCTTAGTAATTTCTTCCCTCATCTAATGAAGCTATTTAATGATCACTTATTAAGGCAAGACCTGTAGGGTTGGTGGCTACGATGAACTGCTAAGAGCTCCACCTGAGGTCTTCCAGCTCTCAGGAGGCAGGTGGGAACCAAGACTAGCCCTAACAGGATGGATCTGGATGTTCTAAGCAAGGCGACCTTCTACCCGTATTTCTCAATGTTTTGTGAGCTTGACTCCTAGGGTTCCCCGCCCCTAGTTCGGGCACTGTCTACCCCTAGACCATGTCAGAAGATCGAGAACGCCGAGCAGCAGCAGTCCTTGCAACTCTGCCTCATTTTCAAAAATTGCTAACAAAACTTGTGGGACGTGTCTTAACTGAAATTGTCAAGGAAACAGTCTGGTTGGTTTGTATGACGGCTTCACGTTACTAGGTTTTGTTTTGAACCAGACCCTAAAGACCGGAGCCTTAATGTTAACCCTGTGAACTTTCAACGGACACGTGCCACCCCCACCTTCAAATTTTAGCACCAAGTCCTACACGGTAGCAGGATGTGCGAGGCGGCTTCTAAGGCAGAGTCCCTTCGCTTGCTCGCTCGCTGCTCACGCCTATTAGAAATCACAGGAGAGGACCCACTGAAATGGGGAGCCTTGAAAGCCTTAGGAAGGCGCGGCCCGCTCGGGGGCCGCCCGAGAACCGTCCGGGAAGCCCTTCCACGGCGGCCCCGGCGGCCTCTGCGGGAAGGCAGGGTGCGGGGGGAGTTGGGTGCCAGCGCCCTGGCCGCAGGACCCCCGGGGGAGAGCGAGGAGGGCTACGGATGCAGGAAGTGGGGCTGCG